TAGTTCACCATGTTCTATCTAACGTTTGTTGTAATTTGTGTTTTGGTTTGTTCTTAATCGCTGTTTCATTTCTACATGCTGTACATATGTTTGGCATGTAATAAATGGTAAATGGTAGAACTAGGTAGTAGCTGGAACGGGAGTTCTAAAATACTGTGTGCGAGTCAGGGTACCTGGCACAAGTACGAGCACGTACTTTGGGAATCCCTTGAAGCGCCTACGCTATGCGTTAGATCTGTTACCATGGGGCTTATCATTACGCGGGAGTGTGAAATCCTTCTAATTTGATATAAAAAAGGCTGAGAATAAATCATGTTATAGTGCTCGTAAAATTTCAGATTGTTATCGATGAACCAGTAGAATACGACAATGATGAGGTTCGAGATTCAATATTGGAACTAATGGATAGTGCAGTGGTTCGTTTTTTTTTTCTTTGGGATCAATTTGCACTTCTATTCAAGCGAGCTTACTAGCATCAATCACCTAAGGATTATTGAGATAACCCTCAATCTATTCTCAGTTGTCAGAGTTTTCTCTGTTGACGGTCAAGTTGTACTGGTCAGCTGCAAGTGATCCAAAAACTCATTGTGTTCAAGCCAAATTCAATAGTTTTGTAAGACGAGGGTGTTATGAGTTGTTGGCTCTTTCTGTGCATTTAGTAGCAGTAATTAAAAACTGTTTGAAACTATGGAATACGGTGGAATGCTAAATTTCCAGGCTGCTGGTTATGCATCACGAGCGATCAGTTGGTTAGCGGAGTTCGTCAAGTTTGAGAAGAACACGATTTACGACATTAACGCTGTAAGTATGAAAATAATTACGTTGTGGAATTATAGAAAACGTTTATCCTTTTTTGATTTCTCTCACGAATGACTCGCATTGGGGATTGATTTGAATGTGGTACTGTTCAGGACACGTTTGTGCCAGTGGTGAATCTCGTGTTTCTCGAGACCGACCCATACAAACGCTTTGCATCGGACATCACTTTTGATCGCCATCAAACACAAATCACACGATCACGAATGTACCTCGAACTTACCCAAAAAGGAGTCGATGAGAGGTACATTTCGATCCCGTCATTTTCTCAGTTGCGGTACCATGATTTTCGGTGATTTTAGAGTGACATTGGTGCAATCGTTAATCACCAAATCGCGTGACTACCATTTACCCGTCTCCATTCGAGCTCCATTCACCATGTCACTCAAACACGATGTTTCCGTATGTTATTTTAAGTTCATTATTATTGAATTCGAGGAAAGATGTGAGCTTTAACCACAGTCTCATTAAGCTTGGTCAAATCTTGCTAGTAGTATATGTTTGTTCCGCTGATATCAAATCCTAGTCAGTTGTCTTACTGCGCTTCACGTTATAATTAATTGCCCCACAGCATGTATCCTGCATAACTCCTGCAACCCGCCAAATCGGGCAAAGTTCTTGTCGGGCTTTCTCTTGATGACACCCATTTGACCATTGACTTCCGTGCTTGTGACTTTTTCACATTAATTTTTTTTCTGTAGATTTGGTAAATGGCTAAACTTTGGGATTTCAATTTGAATCCATAATACATATTTCTTTGCAAATTACTATCATCAGAGGTTTTTAAGGATTTTTCCTCTTTCCACTCCGAGTTTATTTTGATCTGTTTACCGTCCAGCACGTTCTGTTGATTGAAGTCTTGGATTAATATTTTTGATCAGAACTCATCGTTTTAGGTGCTTTCGTCTGGTCTGTTCGTTTTCGGTATATCGTTGGTGTGCCTTTTTGTGCTGTCAATTGTACTTCTTGGCCAGCCAGCTCTCACGTGTGTTCTTGTATTCACGTCTGTTGCAGGTAAGCTAATGCAGCGCATATGCGTTTTTAGCTTGCCCTTGTTTCGAAAAATAGAGATTGGATATTTTTTTTTATCCAAAAGAATTTTGTGGATTTCAGTTTTCGTTGAGACAATCGGCTATTCTACTCATTGGGGCGTGCCGATGAACGTGCTTACAGTCACTATGGCAATATCAGGTAAAGATTTATGCCTTTTCTGCCCTTGAGCCTTCTGTTTCTTGACCTATGTGTCACACAGTACACAGTAACTCATCAAGTAACTATGTTTCCAATTTCGATGTTTCGACTACCTGGAGACTATTTTTTTGCTCTGAAGTACGCCAAGGCTTGAAGTTACCAGCTTTTCCCACTAGTTGTGTTGTGCAAAGATGTTGGCGCTTAGTCTTTATTTTCTGGGCACAGGTGCTAGAGTATGAGACTCTACTTGCCTTGCCTTTGCCAAGCTTGCCAGACAATATTTAGAATTTTCGGAATGGAATGAAGGAAAGCTTTTTGATTTTTTCAGCTAATATGCTCACTTCCGTAGTGGTGATGGCTTTCTGCTATAGCTATTCCGTGTCCGGAAAACAACAAATGAGAGCTGGAGTCCGGATACAGTACTCATTCCAGGTACATACCTCACATCTTGGCTTTGTAAATTTTTTCTGTCTACTTTAGTAGTGTACTTTACTGTTTTACTATTGCTTATTTTTGTAGGCCACATTCCTTCCGGTGGTGTTCGCATGTCTCGTCCCGGTCATTACCTACTTGCCTTTGTTCGCCGTTGATGCACCAATCGTCAGTCACCTTTTCAAGGTTCTCTTGGTGAATTCCATCGCCACACTTCTACATTACCTGTTCTTCTTGCCCAAGTATGGTTTCACTTTTCTTATCCTCTTTTTCTCCTTTTTCTAATATCCGCTCAGCAAAAGTCCGTGGCTCAGAGCGGAAGTCTTCAGTACATTGCTATTTATTTTTTNTTTTTTCCATTTCTTTGTTCACTAGCCTGTTGGGTAAAGTATTTACTCGTATTCTTATTCCAAAAGTATTTTTATTTGTTAAATTCGCACCTTTGGAAATTTTCTATTGCTTGGGTATAAATGAGAGCCGAACGTCAATTCTGCACTTTTATTGCTGCAATTATGTACTGTCGTGGAAAAAATACCAAGGATCTAATCGCTTCAACCAATTCTAGTGACTGGTGATTACGTAAAATTTGAAATTTGACCCACCGAGTTTTTATCTGGCTTGAAATCTAATAATTGCGTTTCCTCTTGACGTTATTATGGGGAGTAAATGGGACTGCAAATTGGTGCAAACTCTTTTTTTGCCATGAATAGAATGCCTGCAGGCAGGTGCATGTTTACCCTAATTATATCCATAGAGTTCTTAGGTAGTCGCATAATGGGGAACTCGTAAGGATGTGGATGTAAGCAGAACGATCACGGAAGGCAGCTTTTACAGTGGCACGGGCTTGTAGCAAATCCAACGTGTAACAAATCCATCTAAGGATATAGATGATCTGAAGCATTTTCAGTAATGGCCTTCAGAGTTTATATTTTGAGGGAGGGGAACTATTTCTGTTCTATTGTCCTCGTTTCTATGGTGATTCAATTTATTGCTTGCATTTCAGTCTATGTCTACTGTTCTCCACTCATCTACCAACATGTTCATCAGTAAGCTGTGCTGAATGCTGTTGTGATTTTGATGACGAGAGCTCGATATATTACATTCCAACCACCGCTCGTGCAGTTCATCCTGAAGGGTTAGGAGTCTTTTTGGAGAGTACAGCAAATTCTTGACTGATCGTTGGAATTTTCAGTGTCTATCAGCACACGTCATACACATACTCGGTACCGCAATCTATTGTCACCGGTGGTCCACCGAACTATCTGGCCATTGGTCAGTTTTCACAGATCTAAAATCCTCGAAAATCTTCAGAAGTTCATCTCGGCATTCATTTCAGCGGGACCTCCTCCCGCGCCTTCTTATGCTGGTGAGTACGTTCGAACCCATGTGGGACAAAATTCACGACCGAGGAGAAGTCGCCGAGCGAGCGAAGTGAGTAACATGGAATTTGGAGTTGGGGAGTGTAGTTCTAGTCTAGATCCGCTCACAGCGCGCGGTGATTCTTAGCTAGTTGTCTCGCCGTGCAAGTTTGGTGACTATTGCTCATCGCTATTTGACTGCTTTATTGATTGCCATTGCTTCTCTATTCAGTTTATGGAATTTTGTTTAGCGTTGTGTATTTTAGTCTTCTGCAACGCCATCTGAAACCCCTCGGCAGAATAGGAATTCACGAAAGGGATCTCGGGACGATTCGATTTATGAAGCTCCGCCTAGTCCGGTACGAATTATTTAAGTGTTATTCTTATTTAGTTCATTCATTGTTATGATTCCCTTTTTCATTTGGTTATATGAGGGTATGGGATCCGCCATGAGTCCTAGGACCAGCATTTGGAAGGACACTCAAAGTTTAGGGTGTAGTTCCTCTTTCGAGGTTTACTTGACGTCCCTCCATGACCTCTGCCTTTGCTAACGATTTCCCGTGAAGACGATTTCAGTGGCGACATTTTTAGCAGGTTGTAATATTCAAAGAACTCAAATTTGATATCAGAGAATGGCAGTAACCGCACTCGAACGGAATCCTTTTCCCTTCTCTTCCCTTCTCTTCCTTCTTTAGGCAAAATTGAACCTCATTCCTGATCCTCTGAACATGCACGAAGACCATACATAAAATCGGTTCAAGTTCCAACTTTCAGAATCCGTTACCGTATTTTAATGGTGACATATTTTCAGCGAGTCGCCTCCGGTACCTCACCTCAGCCCCAGCGATCCCGACAATCATCCCAGCACCATAACCATCATCATCAACATCATGGGCCATACTTCCAAGATCCGACCTTCAACATGCATCAACAACGTTGGCGGCCGTTTGTCCATCCACAGCCTTATTCTTACTATCCACCCAATGGTTATCGTCGATAGGCTGTTGAAAGTAATGTGCTCATTCTACGTTAGTGCCTAAACAATCGATTCCATGTATTCTATTGTTTGCTCAACTAATATTATGTTTAGTATAAGTAATTACGCATGCATACGGTATGCCTTAGATGGTGCATTTTTATTGATTTTATCGATTTTTCAGTTTTCTTTGCTAATGACGCCATGAAGGTGTCTCGTTCTCACAAAGCTGTGTTGCATCTCATGACGAGCATTTATTGATTGGTTGTGAAGAGTTGGCAAGCACATTTTCTGTCAATTTCAATCAGACGTTTTTTAATTATTGAAATTAAAAAGTATAATATTTAGTGTTCATTTATGGTGCTTTCATAAGTAGTATTATGTCTTTCGACGTTTAGGTCGGTAAATGTTTCATATTTCCCCACCAATAATCAAGTGCAATTTGCTAATAATAAGTCCATCCAGGTTACAAATTTTCAAGTGCTCGACTCCAGAGTGATAATAAATCTATTTAAAATATCTATCGAAACCAATAAATTGTTGAGAAATAGTGTTGTGGGAAGCTCCGCCTTCTTGGGTAATCCAGCCCAGTTTTTACCTTGAGGTTGTTGCATGAGTTCTGTCTAACTTATTCTGAAGTGCACCTCTGTAACTTTTTCTTGAGTCATTTCAAAGTAACAAAGTGACAAATGTGAGAATAGTCTTTGAGGACACTTTTTGGTACGCTCCGCCCATTTGGTGGTACGGATTTGATGTGGCATCTGAGCACACAACTTTTAGGAGAATGAAGAAAACTAACCCGGTGAAGCGTGGGAGTTCTGGAGACGATTGCATGCGGCCTGGTCCGAGTGGAAGCCGGAAGATTTTCCAAGGTATGTGGAGGAGTCGAAGTGGGAATAGGGAATGTTTCAAACGCAGCTATGAAAAATCAATAACAATATCCTTACGCCCGCCAGAATAGGTTTGCCAGCCTCATTTGGATGCTAATCACAATCAAATACTTCAGAAAAAGGATCAGCAGGCTCTTGAGCGGGTATCCTTGACGCATGTGGGTGTTCAAACAGATTTCGAGTCTTTATTACTGTTTAGACCCCATCTCGACTGTCTTTGACGAATAGAGGAGTGGCGTGAGCGTGGTACGCGCATTACCACTTATTCTTGGTTGGGGTAATCACCTGTATCACCTGTCGTCCCGTTGATCGTCGAATTCCTCGAGCGGGCGCCAGTAACGTCTCCATTCGTCCCTGTCACGAGCCAGAGTGGTCCAGTGAATCGTTCTCGCTTCAGGGACACGAGGTTCAACATTCCTTTCGTTCAGAGCTTTCGCGAAGAAGTCTGACCATCTCGTTGGCAGCCTTACTGGAGTTCGTTTGATGTCCCGAGGGATCCAGTCAGTAACCGCCCTGGTCCAACGGTCATCACTATATCGCATAACGTGTCCGGCCCACCTGATCTTTGATTTCTTGGCGTAATCAACGGCATCCCTGATCTTCGTTCGGTGACGGAGCTCGGAACTCCGAATTCCCTTCTGCACTTGCGTGTATAGGGAAATTCCGAGCATCGTCCTTTCCAAAGCGCGTTGAGTAATGCTGACAACATGCTCATCCTGCTTTCGTAGAGTCCAGGTCTCCGAGGCGTACGTCAAAGCAGGAAGGACAGCAGTGTCGAAAAGGTGAGCGGGGAGCCGGATGTTCTTTGTCTTCTTCACTACTCCCTCGATATTCTTAAATGCTCCCCACGCAGCGCGTTCCCTTCTGCACAGATCTGGAGCTAGGTCGTTCATCATGTTGACTTCCCGATCTAGATAAACACAGCTAGAGCATTCGGAGATATTCGTTCCGTTTAACGTGAAAGGAGCATCAGGTACCAGTCCGTTTTTCATGAACTTCGTCTTCGTTAGGTTCAGCCTCAAGCCGATCTTTCCACAAGCACTATCAAACTCGTCCAGCACAGATTTAATGTACTCATAGAGGATAGAACCCAGGTTTTATTACCCCTGTTGCCCCAACCCAACAGTAATAGAAATGGGTTGGGGTAATAGGGGTAATAAAATCCTGGGTTCTATCCTCTACGAGTATATTAAATCTGTGCTCTACCGGACAAAAATAGTGCTAGGCTGCAGTGGGTTTTGAATTCATGTAGAAAGTACCACCTACTTGGAAACGTTTCGCACAAGTCGGGTGAGTCTATTTTGCCTGACTTGTTGGCCCTTTTCTAAATTTTGCCACGCGCCGCCGGTTCCAGTGCATTTACCGCCGCCTATGAGCGGAGCTCCCGATGCTCTGTTGATTTTACCCTAGATGCTAATTCTGACCCAACCTCTTAAGGTTCCATTTAGGTGATATTGATTATCGTGATCGTGATCGTGAGACAGACAGTCAGGCAGACAAATAGGCGACGCGCACGCGTAACTATGTATACATATAGGAAGGGTTTTCGACACGAAGTTACGGAATAAGCGATTTAATTCTAGAGAAGCGATGGGTTGAACTTGGCTTTTTTAGTTTTGTAATACTTTTTCTATGCTACTACGATTCATTGCAGGTGAGTTATCCATAGTTTTGTCTAAGTACAATTCAATAGTTTCGTTTTCACCCATGCAATTGTCGTGATTACACCTCTTTGTTGTTAACTGCCCAGCACTACTTTATTTTGTGTCTTTTTTCGTACTTACTCATTACTTATCCCACTTTTTATCTTGAGCGTTAGGCCTGAATATTTAGGTCACTCAAAAGCTGATATGGATAAGTCCTGGTCATCAAACGCTCAGATCACGAGGCTTTCTAGCAAAAATGAAGCTGAGATAATCGAGAGGGTTATTCAGAAACAGAAAAGGTAATGCTAATGATATATCGAACAAGTTATATGTAGTACAGGGTAAAAAGACGCGAGGTGGCAGTAAAACTCTTAGTTCACGATAATTTTGGGTAATCCAGATTTGACGAAAAATGGAAGGTGGGAATTAGTGCGATAAAGGCGAGCAAAATTGCGTGAATCGGTGTTTCAAAGTGAAAAAAGGGTTTGAAAAATCCTTAAAAAGGGGACAAGAATTAGATTTAAAAAATGAATTAGATGAGGCGTTTGGATGAGATGTACAATGTGTATCATTGCGTACGTGTGGGTCCTGGTGCGAATAGACTACGGTAAGCAAAAATTCATNAAAATCCTTAAAAAGGGGACAAGAATGAGATCTGAAAAATGAATGAGATGAGGCGTTTGGATGAGATGTACAATGTGTATCATTGCGTACGTGTGGGTCCTGGTGCGAATAGACTACGGTAAGCAAAAATTCATTCACTCATAAGCATAAGTTAACAAAAACTCTAGTAGCAGCAAAAATAGCCCCCTTTTCAAACTCTTCAAGGCACAGTTCAGATAATTTTGGAAACCCGTTTTTATTCCAAAAGCGGAAGTATAGTCTGGGAATGCTTCATAGATAGTGAAGAAAGCGAGAGAATTCGCCGATTTCGAGAAAAATATGGCTCCTCAAAAGTAGGGAAAATAAAGGTTGGACGAGATTACCATGACAGAAATAAAACGTAAGGGTTATTCGAACGAGATTNCAATCTTTGAGCCTTTATAACTCCCTAACTAGGCCGTTTTCTGACCCAGTAGTGCCAGATATCGTGTACGCGGGGGCCTCAAATTCATCCTGTGGGGACATCTTACAAATCATTTTTATCGTGAACTGTGCCTTTAAGGTAGAAAATTAGGATAAGGATCGGAGCAGCAAAAAGAATAACAGGGAATAAGAATGGGACAAAAGAAAAAACAATGCCTCATCACTCGGCGATCAGCTGATTGTATGTGGGTCCTAGAACGGATATTGCAATCTGTATCGCCTCGACACTTGTCTGACATGATATCGATCGAGGAGCGGGAAGTCCGAGCGATCCGATAACGGCGCTCCCACTGGGCCCTAGCTGTTGAGCTTTGGGACTTGGCAGGCTGCTTTCATAGTCCGCCAGCGTGACAGCCGAGGTAGTAGCTAGGGGGGAGAAGGGAGGCGGACGGTCGGTTGACGCGGTCGCGTCGCGCCCAAGCCTCTTCGAAGGGCTGAAAACAATGAAAAACGAGATCAAAAACCAATCAACCAGCTCTTATGCAAATGGTTTTTGATCTTGTTCTTCCTTGTTTTCAGCCCTTCGAAGAGGCTTGGGCGCGACGCGTCCCCGTCTGCCTCCCTCCTCCCCCTAGCACTACCTCGACTGGCAAGCCGGCTGACTATGAAAGCAGTCACAGCGTCCTTCCTGTTACCCTTTGGGCCACTGGGTACTCCTAGGAAGGAAACTCAGAAACCATTTTTATCGTGAACTGTACCTTTGAGGAACAGTTATGAGGTTATTTACAAATGCAAAAAAGCCCAAAAAATCCAACATCATTAGAAAGCTAGTGTGTATCAAGCGAAGGCACAAGGTTAATATGCCATTAATTGGGCAGAATCAAACAATTTGCTGGGAACGAATTAAGCGGGGAACCTTGGTAACCTTAGAACGGAACGCGCTCGAGTGATCAATTCATTTGCAGGTCTACTATTATGTTGTACCAGTTTGCTTTGCGTGTCACTACTCTCATCTCCTATATCGGGCTGCAAAGGGGGACCATTCAAAGGAGTACGGCAAATACGGGTCAAACACGGAGTTTTTGGTGGTATTCCGTTTTCGGTCTGGGAAAATTGCGACTTCAATTGCAGATCTTGTCTATGTTCGTACAGTCGCTATTCGGGGGNGGGGGCCTATTCTTTCTCGTCTTATCATTAGCTCCTCGCCGTCTCTGGTCTGGGAAGTTTTCTTTTTGGCCGCCATGGGCAGTTCTCCAGCCTGTGGCCAAGTTTCATTCAAGTATCCCCGCGTGCGAAAGTAATTCAAACACAGCATTGCATATGTAGCGCTCGAGATGACGGTCTGGATGCGCCGCGCGCTGCTTGCGCGGCAAACGACTGTAGGAACGGAGCGTACTCTCCCTTCTGTATTCTGTAACATATACTCTATTTTTACCTCTTTGTCCTACGATCTATACGTTCTTCGTTTTCCCTTCCATCTCAGATTGATTTCCGTGCATATCGGGTTTTCGCCTATGCCCGGATGTGCACGCATAACTAATGGGCACGTGCACGCGCATAATCACGCTCATATACACCATTGCAGTGAGAATCTCACCACTGAAAGGCTGCGGTTGGCTTTTCAAGTCTCTTTCGTCCGTTAATTTAATTCGTTTTGATGGTTTTTGTCTTCGATGCCGATTAGCCAGCCAATATCTAGTTCTCTCGCCTTTTCCCCGAAGGCATAGCTCACGATGAAAATGGTTTTTGAGATTTCCCTATAGTATGAATTCGAGGCTCCACCTCATACCATAGCTGTCGTTATAAGGGCGAAAAACGTCGTGGATAGGGCACAATAAGGAATCAGAGAATGTATCATGTGAAAGCCACACCCCTAGTGAACGAGTTTCAACGGCTTTGCAGAAGCTGCACTTTCTCACTCCCAAGTGGGAAGCTCAAACAACTTGTCATGGCCCGTAGCGACAGTGAAAGACGATTCTGGACAGCTATGGTTTGATGCAGTCAGCTCTTTGCACGATGGGATCAACTTAAATCTCGTCCAAAAACCCCTTACATGGCATCCCTGTCGCGGTGACCTCGTACAACCTCCACTTCCACTTATTTTAAAAAGCTTGAAGTAGGCGGATTTTCTTGCTCTGTTCGCCATTAATGTACTCCTCTACATCAGCACTTCCGCTTTTCAACTTAAAGAGGGTAACTCAAAATTATTGTGCATTGTGCCTTCAAATGTGGCTGCTATCCCAACGTCCTCTCCAAATAGCGCAGTGACGCAGCCGCGCCCTTTAAAGCAAGGTAATTTGTATGCAGAACGCCCTACGGCAGGGTAAAGGGCACAGTCAGGTGTAGAATCATGTCTTGTTGGCCTACAAGACTGTAGCCGTCGAGGGTTTTAGGTAGGACGGAGAGGGACATACTTCGTTAAGGATGGTATCCTCCGCAGCTACAGTCTCATTGTGTGCCAGGGAACTCTACCTTCATTCAAGTGTTTCCATCTTGCGCTGTGGCCAGGGTCGTTAGCATAGAGATTGCTGTCTTTTGTACCAATTTATTCCCATTGTGGCTTGGTCTCAATGACCAACGTCACGTAATCGTCTAGGGCTGCTAATTCTTCTACTGAGTGTGATGCGGAACAGAGCGATTTTATGCATCACCGTCATTAGTCTTACAACTGTATAGAGAAAAATCGTTTAGAGGTTTGCTACAATTTGCTTTTTGGACATTTCCCTGAGGTGGTTCTTCTTTGACCCACAGGGGCATTCAATTTAGGGCCTATAAACCGCGCGTGAATGCAGAATTTTCCCCATGCCCTTCACACATGTACACTAAAATATGTACGCACGCACGTGCGAACAGTCTGCGAACGCATTTGTGCGCATTTCCGTAGCTCTTCTAGACATTCAACTACAACACGAAGTTTAGAAACTATAAAATACTGGGAGTTTTCACGGTCCGAGAAGAATTCGTGTTACAGTAATCTTGGTGTGAATCCTGGGTAGAGCGCCTTGTCGTGACGCAAAAAGCTGCTGAACGGTTCGTTGCTTCTGTTTCAAATGGGCATACTGTGTCTCAAAACCTCGTCGGACTGCGATATCTGCCTTGTGATGATTCTCTATTCTAACTAGCTGTTTTTATAGGATGTATGCGGAAATGCTTGAGAAATCTGAGGACGTGGAAATGCCACCGACCAGTTCCAGCAAGGATCACGAATACAGCAATCCAAAGAATGGTGAGTTTTTTTTCTTTTATTTTGGGACGTATTTGACTTTCGAGTGGGATTCCTGAGCCTCTCAACTGCGATGAAACTTATTAGGTAGGTCTTTGGACCGCTGAGCCAGAGTCTAAGTTGATTGTTTGGTAAGTTGTTTCGCCATACAGCTTGCCGTTGAGGGCTAGCGCTCATTAGGCCTTTGGTGAGTCGACTACTTGATCTATTGGGTGTGACTACAGTAGAGTCTTGAGACGACTAAAGGTCTAACGTGGGTGGAGAGGTCTAGAAGGGTAGGGTAATGTATTGTCATGAGCTATGGAATTATTCGGAACAGAATAGCTGCTTGTCTGTGGTTTGAAAATCGGTCAGATTTCATGACTTCCAATACCTCACCAAATTAAGCAAGATATCTGGCTTCCAGCAGAGCTCTGTCCAGTCATAAGGCACTGGCGGCTTATATGTCAGTTGGAGTCTTTGTTGACATGGTTTGCTCTAGCTTCATTTTTTTTCTATTACGTAATACTAATAATAACTTAGCTCTTGAAAAGAGGCAGTCGCTGTACTACGACGATCCGCGGACGGGACGTACATTTCGATTTTTATTACATCGTAAGAATACTCGAAAAGCAGACATTTATACTTGCGCCAAGTGCAAGTCTAGGCGGAAATATGTTAGGATAATGGTAAGTCGTGCTCTGTCGATTTCTGAAGGCACGGAACAATTCCTAATTATCATTAATCATTCTAGGTCCGAAATGATAATTTTCTCAGCGACCCGGGCTTATTGGACCACATATGTTATATGAATGCAGCAGAGTGAGTCAACTATCAAGTGCTGGAGTGCAGATGACTCACTGTGTAAATTGTGTACAGCAACGCAGAGGTGTCTGGACACCAACTTGAGCCGTCATATTCCTGTTTGTCCACTGACTGCGTAGTGGGCCTTCTGCACTGTTTTTAGATTTCGGTGGAGGAATAACGCTCCCATTTCAAAGCTTTTCCTTTTGTTCTTGACAGTTGCATCCTCGAAATTTTTTTAGACTTAGGCTGGAGCGTATCCGAATGGAAGAACGAAAGCGACGGAAACGAAATAGGCTTCCACCGTATGATCTCGGTGAGTTCGTGCTGTTTTTGTTTTAATAGTAAATATTTTTATTGTTGAGTGGAAATCAAAGCAGGGATGGAAGATTCGATAGGATTGAGCGGATTTCGCACGGATTGGAGGCAACATTTTGAGATTGAACTTTTAGACAATTTAAGGCCTCTAAAGAACTCCGCTGTCCTTCCATCTGTTTTTATCGGTCTTGACTCATACTTTTTTCTTTTTTTCCGTTCTGCGTCACGCCCTCGCTATGTGTTTGTATTGTTGAAACATCGTCACTTGAGCTTTTGGTGTCTTAAATCGAAGTTGCTGACGTATGAGGACTCTAGATCAATATAAAATAGAGTGAAAACTGCTGAAAAATCATCCTGAATCTTTCTGAAGAAACGGTTCACGATTTTTATGGAATCTATTTTTGGACGAACGATGAAAGTGATAGCCCAGAATAGTGCAAGAATGGCGAAGAAAACGCGAAAAACGGCGAACTCAGAGAAATGTAAAGCCCAGATGTAATTAAGTTAGGGTTTGGACGGGAAGGTAACGACAAAGTTGCAAAGGAAGGATATTTGGACGAGTTGTCCAAATATGTGTGAGTTGCGCACAGCTAGCTGTTGTAAGCTGCCTGCGGGCAATGCGTGCGTCCCACTGTGGATGGTGCAAGTCTACAGCCTCCACGACGCCTGGAGAGCTCGTCCCCTTTGGCTGTGTACGCCGCCTAAGTCGGTTTTGGGGCTCTTTTCAGGCGCCGTCTAGCCGTTTTTCGACTCCGTAGCGTCCCGTCTGCCATCCTTAGAGGTCGCAAGTTTTTTCTACTCACATTGGTTGTTCATCTCCTGGGATGAGTTCAATCAATTACTCATGATTCTTGTTCTAAACGGGGATTACTATAATCCATAAAGCAACAGCAAGTATCAAGAAGTTATATTTTCCATAAGCTTTCCCATTTTTTGCGGGCACCGGGGTCTTGCCACTACATACGGTTTTTTACGGTACATAGAATTTCGTTTTTCTGTTGTTTTAGCATTGGGATCATGAATTAATGTCAAATAATCGTCAATCTATTTGGTTAGTGATTAAAATTGCATTTCAAGCGGATATTATGGTAGCGTGGTAACGTTGTGAATCGTACTTTCAGATGACATACTGGAGGCGGAAGCGTATCTTTATCCAAAGGGCAGTGGAACGATATCCGATGAGGGATGTGTTATCAGTTCAGCTCCAAGCTCACCAAAGTCAGTTACTTTCTCAAATTTTGTACTGACTTCGTTAGGGATGTATTCGCGATCAGTAGCCTGTCCTGTAGCAGTGCAATGACCATGCTTGCAGTTGCTCTTCAAAATGACTCTACGCAGAGGACGGCGAGCACGTTGCGAGGTTGGATANTAGTTCATCCACAAGCAACCTACTTGTCGCCCAAATTTTATAAGGATGTATTGAGCAGCCTCCGTGGTTGACCCGGTGATTCACCCATCCCTAAAAGCGTTTAAAACTTTTCTATGATTAATACTTGGAAAAAGGCTAGTGTTGACGCTCGGGGGTTCCTTATCATATCATGACGGAAGGCGAAAAATTGGTCGTTGGAGGTAGCACTGACTTCATTTATTTTAGTAAAATTATTGTCTATTCAGCAGCCCAGCCCTTGAAGACTCTCCAGAAGCGATTCTCCCAAAAGAGCTTGTCAAAACAGAAACGGATTCGGTGTTAGAGGTCAGCGACTTTTGCTGTGTTTCGCTTACTGTTCGACAGTTTTTACTGTGCTGAAGCTTCAACAAAGCTCTCAGGTCCATCACTAGGAGCAGTAGGTGAAGGGTGGACGTTGAGGTCCAATATTGAGGGCTGTACCACATCTTCTGAGTAGTTAATTCCTAGTTTTGCTTTTTCGACTTGTCTTTTTTTGTATGGCTTAGGACGCACCAATGACGACAATAGCGCTTCTAAGAAGTGTTCTGAGTGAGCGATGTATCCTGGGCTTTTCTTAATTTTGGCTCAATTACTGAGACTGTTTCGAACTTGTCCTAGACAATTTTAGCTTAAAAAATTGCTCGAGAGCACAGCAATGTTGATTGCTGAACTGATTTTTCTAGCTACCTATAATGTATCGCTTGTATTTTGTAGAAAACCCAAACATCGTCAACTGATGACCCAGTGGCTGGTTGTGGTCAGCCTCAGATGTCTGGAGTGATAAAGGACGAGCAGCAGGATCGGACGATTACACACCCGTCGAAGGAGGAAGCTCAACCGATGATGACGCCTGTATGGAAGGATGAGCCGCAAACATCCGAACAGGAGCCTTCAGAGTCTCAGCCAAACCCCAGAATACGTGGTGATGCGTTTCTGGAAAGCATCAAGTTGGCACTGGAGAGCATACCACCAGAAAATCGCCAGAAAGCACATGTGGACATACTTCGCTATATCTACACAACAATTTTTGATAGATATGTCGGGCAATAGTCTGTGAAAGTGCAATTCATTCATTCATTCATTCATTCATTCATTCATCCATTCATTCATTATCTCATTGGTTGCATGCGTTCATTGGGTGTGAAGAAGTCTTTTTGTTTACTTACTTATACGGATCGTCTTCACTCATGTGCGAGCACCAGCAACAAACGATTCGCTTCTGTCTTTCTTGATCGCCATCCGATTGCTCGGGCTAGGCTCACAATTCGACGATGATGGCGATGTGAGGAGTCCTTCAGCTGCTTACGCAGCCGTTTTATGTGATCGACAAACACATCCCCTCAGCAGGCCTACCCTTAAATCGTGAAGTTCCTACGGTAACCCAATGGCGGTTCTTTTTGTCCACCTGTCATCATTTCTTCTCATTCTATGACCGCCCACCGAAATTTTGCGTTCTTCATGTATACCACCGGATCGCGAAGTCGAGACATTCTGCGCATATCGGAGCTGCGGAGTCCGGCTATGAGTTGAGTTAGTCGGTTGAACCTCAAAAGATATCGCTCGAGCACTCTGTGACTTGTGCTCGAAGCCGTTGACGTGGATGCACTGGTCATCCAAGTCACCGACCTGTAACAAAGCGCAGGAAGAACTGTGAAATCGAGCAGATTAGCGCGAAGATCCGGGCCGGCTAGATGGTTGATGACCTCTTCCGGAGGTACGGAGGCTGCCCACGCTGCTTTCTGCCGTCTCACAAGTCTTCCTTCATGTCGTTGTCCATATTGATGACATCCGACATAAACTTGAGACGAGGGTAAACCATCGATCTTAATTTGACTTCCGTCAGCCCATGCATTCTTCATGAACTGTGTCTTTGTTTAGTTGATCCGCAGCTTTACGTTCTTTCTTGCTTTATTGAGCTCAGCAAGAATAGTTTCAGCTTCTGCAACGCTGCTTGAAAGCGATGTCGTACCAGAGGAACCGTCCGTCCACACGAATGCCCTTTTCGCCTCAGTTTGGCGACTTCGTAATCCACTGCAGCGCGGCTGTAAACAGCTTAGGCAAAAAATGTCTTATCTCACACCCTTCTCCTTCACTATATGATTGGAGAGAGGTCATTGGAACACCATCACAGTCCCGCTGCGGCGACTACTGCAGTGAGCTAGTGTTATTATGCAGGGAGGGTCCACTCCTTGATCAACCTGTGCTGACAGACCCGCATTCATTTCGACGCTGCTAAAAGCTTTTTCATAGTCTACGAAGGTAAGGGTAAGAGGCATCCGGAATTCGCGGCACACTTCGATGACCATTGCGACCGCTTGGATGTGGTGTGAGCAGCTGATCCGTACCGGAATTTGGCCTGCTCTACAGGTTGAGCTTCATTCAACGTTCGCGATATGCTGGTTAGAATTATCTTCGTGAACAGCTTGTAAAGCACTTTTAATAAAGTTATTGGGTGGTTGTTGCGAAGATCATCCCGGTCTCCTTTCTAGTGAAGAATGACCATCGGCGGCTTCCTCCACTGCTTGCGGATTTTCTACTTCTGCAGTAAGATGTCATGTGTGTTGCGAGAAGCGCATAAGTTCGTAATCTCTGCACAGAGTAGTCGGCTGAGATGTTGTCGGGGCCTGGATTAGTGCCCCCTTTCACGCTCGCAATCACAACTCGCACCTCCGAATACAGGATCCGAGGTGCTGTTCCGCCAGTGAGGATTTTTAGTTTCCGCACTCATATCGTGGATGCCGGCACAGGTTGGTGTAAAACCTTCGTGTAAGTTCCTCCATTAGAAATCTCGATTTCGTGAGTGTTCCGTTCTCCTTCAAAGACGAAAGTGGATTATCGTGGTCCTGAAGATTTCATTTTTCAGACTGGTTCTGTTCAAGGCTGCCTCCAGTAGTCTCCTCTCCCTGTATAACTGAAGATCTCGCCGCACTGCTTGTCTGCAGCTGATATTTGCTTGCAGCCTTTCAAGATGTGTGGCGTTCTGATCAAGCCTCAAATTTCTCCTCGTCCTAAGAAGATTCTCCGTTACGTCTGGAATGCGAGCGGAGAAATTCACTCGAAGAAACTTGGCTTCTTCAGCACAAGTGAAGAGACCCCGAACCGCTGCATCGTAGTCTCGGTCGGATCATCCTAGACCTGCCGGTCATTTTGGGACAAAGCGTCATTCAAAGCATCTCCGTCGTACACAACATGCTTCGTACTCCTCGCGCGATGTTGAGGGATCTTTTCCAGCTTGTGACTGAATCTGATCTTAGTGCGAAAGAGTCAATGATGACAACCACTGCAGAAGGATGGTGCCCTCAGCGACATCTAGTAAGCACCACATTCTGTTTGTTAAGATGTGGCCTAGTTCAGCATGACTCGTACCGTTTGGAGACTCCCATGTCCAGCGGCGATGTCCCTTTTTCTGGAAGAAAGTTGCCATGGTAGAGTCGAGCCGCGCACGGAAGTCCAGTAAGAGGATTTCCGATCTCGTTCCTGTCCCCATTTTGAACTTCCAATCCTGAACTCCTCCTCTTGTGCTTCGCCAAGCGGAGCGTTAAAATCTCCAACAACAAGTTTGTAGAAGCTTTCGTTGTGGATGATCTCCCTAGTTAGTCGTAAAACGCATCCAGCTCAATTTCGTCAGCTGTAGAGGGTGGAGGTAGCAGTTGACGATAGGGATGGTTCGCACTTCCGTCGCGGAACAACGGCGCCGTTGGTTTCGTCACGCACCCACCTGTCGACCATGTTGTCGTTTCTCACGAGGTCCTGTCTCCTCTCCTCGCCATTCTACGCCTAAGGCATGCACACCATCTCTTGTCTCTTTGTTTTCCATTATGAAACCCCAATTATATCATGCAAAGGATTTATACTTCGACGAGATATCGATCAGCTGCCCGCGTCGGCGTCAAAAGCATCAATGCAGCGTTGGTGTAGGTGGGCATGATGACTCAGCGTTGCCACGGCATATTGGCTTACAATACAATCCGCAGGTATCGATTAGGGCACTAAGACATTCTGTTTTGCTCTGAGTGACTATAACCTCATATTAGTTGTATTAGCCGATGCGGTTGCGCGGCTTCAATGAGATTGGATCTGTTGACGGCTTAAACATTCGTTTTGCTGATTACTCTTTCCAGATGTATCAAATGATATCCACAGGTGACGAGTATAGCTCTGAACTTATTTGGTTTTTCTTTTGCCACCTTTGGGCCAGTGTGGGTTGCTCGTCGCTCCCCTTTATGCCTACTGCTTTGAGCTGTGGAAATGCATGCGTAACGTCACCTTATTGCTATTTCTTAGCCATAAATAGTTAGTATTAGGAATATCAGTCACGAATGAATTGGCAATACTTTGTTGTAGTTCGAGCGTAGATGTTCGATGATCATCATTGATTTTCTACCATGATTGTGAATGTGCTTCGGTTTTGTTTTACTGTTACGGTGATGATTGTTGTTGATTGAGATTTTTCTCGATAAAGTGTCTGTTTACATTCCTATGTACAATTTTTGAAACTGATAAACCCCCCAGTAAATAGATGCGCTTACTTTAAAGACGATATTTTTCATTGTCTTTGTTGGAAAGTTCTCATACTACAAGCTTGATCCCATTTCGGAACAGGGACTAGGGTGATGTTCAGGAGTCGGTCTGGAGAATATAGGATCATTCTGTTTAGAACTGACATTTATCGGGGTTCTGAATTTCAAAGTTCTAAGTATTTTTTCAGAAGATTTCCACCTAACAGCCTCGAGGCAGAGGCAAAACTAACATTTTCCAGAAGAGTTAATCTTTGTAACAGTTAGTTCAAGTAATCGCTATTTTTCTTTGTGTAAGTTCCTTTCACATGCTCAAGATTGCTGTAAACATGCGAAGCTCGGGAGATTTATGGAATATGTGCATAGACCTCTGAGCCTTGAGTTTATTGGATATAGTGAATTGGGGACGGACCAATCTAAAGTCATTTATCTGTTTTTTTTTTGCTGAAACAAATTAGGCATTTTAGGCTATGACTTACCATTGTAGTAGTCCTTCTCTTTCTGAGTTCCTACCTAAAAAGTTCATTGGAATGTGCAGTATTTATGCTAGTAATACCCTTTTTGGAAACTTACGGAAGGAGTGGCTGGTCCTTTAGAAATTTTCGGTCAAATAGGCAACTTCCTTGGCATGTCATTTGACGAACTTCACTCTCTACGACATTTTTTACCTATTATTATTTTTCCACGTTATTATTTTTTCTAGAATTTTCTCTTCTACTCGCAACCGTTTTTCGCACTAACTTTCATGGAGTGCTCCTGAAAGGTGCCCCAATGAAACTATTTTACTGCGCATGCCTAGGTTAGGCAGCACCCTCACACAGGGCACATTTTTTTTGGAGGAAATATGTCATCTCTAACAATAACTGGTAAACGACTACCTGTCTAGAACTTGGTTTGTTCCAGGGATTTCTTTCACTCTATTTAGCTTTATACGATTCCTTCTTTGTCTTTAGTGTTTTGATGTGATCTGGATATCTTCTTGACAGCATATGGATGATAGACTCTGATCTATATCTAGACGCACAACTTTTCTATCAAATGTACAGTCCAGCTAAGTCCTTCAGCTCAAACATATATTTTAATGAAGTATGTCCAGTAATCCATGAATTTAAGCGTTGAACTGTTTATATTCTATATTCTATATTTGTGTTTTGTGACATGAATGATATCGACTTGGTCTCTAAAGAACATTGGTATTATCGGCTATCGACGGAGATCAAGAAAAATCTTCCTGTATTTCTTCGAGTAATTTGTGAGTGTTTCGATGGAGTTTTTTGCTATGGTTTACTGTAATTAAACTAATTTTATGGCAATTTAGGGAAACTGTCGGAAATGTTGTTAAGGAAGGAATGAAAGGGCCTCCACAGATGGAGTGATTGGAATGTTTCCAGTCAGTGATCAGCTGAATGAGATCGCCTCCTATGGGGACGGGCGCTCCGGCTACCTTCGTTTCCGTTTTGTGGTGATTACTCTTATTACTTAACTCCTCAATACTTCATCGATTACTTCCCACTTGTATATTTCTTCCCTTCTTTCGTTTTATAATGTTCATAGGAGTCCTGAGTGTTTTTTTTTTCTTACTTCTTGTACCTCTTGCGCGTTCAATGCAAGAACAGTCCATAACAAATTTGTTTACAGTATTTTTTTAGTCGAATTTCTGTTGTATTTTTATTATTCGTTACTTTCATATGTTGTTTAGCCGTTGTGTGATTTTTGATGTTGTTGATGTTTATTCTGACGAAAAAACAGAATCAAACTGTTCCGCTAACTTTCCGTCAATGTTTGTTTGAACATTATGCTTTGGGGCTGTAACTTCTGGAAACAATTACGTTTTTCCAATGCCCCATTCAACCATTCGTCTAGCGTTTACTTTCCGATTTTCTGTTGTTCGAAGTGGTAGACCACGAGTTCCGCCTTGTTTGTGTTGTTCCCCACACTTTTTCGGAGACTTGTCCCATTTGGGAGAAGTTTTGATGGGTTCAATTGGTCTGGTTAAGGAGAGATGAGCTGGTTCCGTGGGCAATAGGGAGGTGAAGAACTGTCGTTATTTTCTTCTGATTCTTTTGTTCTGGGCGGCATCCACCGACCATCTGGGCTAGAGCCATTTAACGCATGACGTCGAACAATCCCATATCTCTCATTGCCAGATAAAGATCGAGAGGAGTTGCTCATAGGGTAGTTTTTCATTCCATAAACTGCTTAGGCTGCTTTGAATCGTTCTCTGAAAGCCATATGCCTTGTTGCTGGGGAAGTCCGCGGCTCAATTCCCAAGGACGTGGGATTTTTGTGGCTTGCATGAGTCTCTTGTTGCTATTTTCTTCAAGACTAGGTAGCTCTTGTAGTTCACGTAGTATATCTGAGAAATCTAGAACTAAAGCTAACCGATACCTCTTTCCATGCCAAAGAAATTTGCAAACTCCGTCCACCACAGATAGGAAGTGAGACGGAAAATTTCGCTTTGTCGCTTTTTAAGTCTGAAGTGGACGTTGAAGTATCGATTTGGTCATGTCATTTTACTGTTTTCTATACGTTCATCTACAGCTTCTTTCCTTCGTTGTTTCCTCACTAGTCAGGTGGGCTAGCAATTATTGAGCTAACAATTTGGTTTACTTGTTAGACGATGTTTTGAGCTGTTGGCAACAAATTCAGTTTTGAAGTCTCGGTTCTCAGCTTTCGTTCGTTTAAAGGCAGTATGGAGTTAAAGATAATCAGGGATCGTTTTAAGAAAACCTCCTTTGCCACCAAGTCGGCTATATCATTTGACCATTCGTTCGACGCTTATTTCCCGATTTTCTGTTGTTCGAAGTGGTCTAGGAGCTTAGAAGCTGGGGTCGGGATAATATGTATAATAGTATGGGTGGAGTGATCGATCACTAACTGCTAGATTCCCACCTTTGAGTCCGTAAACCCTGAATGATATGCCACAGAGAAGATCGCTCTGCATCCTCTCAGCAATCAAAGTCAATCACTAAAGTGTTTTACGCGGTTTCAGCGTGTGTGGATATCCTGGTCTTCCTCAGAATCCAGTCATTCATTCATCACCCTCCAGAACAGTCTGGTAACAATTAACCGACCCCGGAGGGACGGAGGCTTCATTGTATTGCGCAGAAATCAACCAGTTATCAAACTACGATATATCAACCGGATACCATCAAACTTTTTTCCAAAGCAAAGTCTTTCATCTTTCATCATGTCGCTATCATCTGGCTTAGCCCTTCAGATTCTAAAGGTTTCTATCTATTATACTAATAAAAGTTTCGCGAATGGGAAAAAACCGGTGTCTTNCTTGGAGAGTAGCCACGCCCAAATCAAATCTGTTCCTCCTAAGCCTAATCGGAAATGCTGTTTCCTGTTTATCCTCGCTCATCATTTGCCCGAAGTGGGCCGTATAATACTACTCTTATAACCAAATAGACTGTCCGTGGACTAAAAAATGTAGACAGTTCACTCAAATGTTCCAGCTGCTGGTAGAAGTCTTCAGTTTCAAATTCAACATCACTTCCATTTCTCGAGATTTTCTCTGAAAGTTCGTCGATATGCGTTTTCCCTTTTAGTATTGTTTCATGAAGGATATCTATATATGGAAGTGTGTACAGATTAAAAAAAGAACAAATATTTGTTCGGTTCGTTTTTATATGCTCTTTCTTCGCAAGTTTTCCTTCTTTTTGTTAGTTTACTCGTTTATTCTAAAAAAAAAGCCAGCCTCAATAGGAAAGCACAAACAAACAAGATGAACATATCGGTTCTTTAGAAAATCACTTTCCATATCTTCCTTCCTTTGACTTCCTTTTGGCATATCTTCCTTCCTTTGACTTCCTTCTGGAGGGAGTGAAGGTAGTGACGGGTTGGAAAGTTGAGTAGGATGCTCGTGTGGGGGGAAGGGGAGAGGGAGGCTGGATCGTACGATTTTTCGGAGTTCGGTGAAAAACTTCGGAGCTGCCTCTTTTTCTTAAAAGCTAGAGCATTACCGAAGGGGTGAGCAGATTGCGATCAAAGTGAAAAGCATGGCGACATTTCCTGAGGAAATTCTTCTTCCTATAAAAAAGAATAAATCTTCAAATCACAAAAGTTTCAATTTTTTTCCTTTCTGTTTTCCCCGAAACCATGACGTCATTGAACAAAAGAGATGGAGAAGCCCAGATCGTTGAGCAGAGGTCGAGCTGAAAAGTAATCCGATCTCGGACACGCAAGATGCTTTTTGAACTGAATTCCTATAGCATCGAAAAAAAACGTCATTCACTGCACTTCAGACTGGGTGGAGCAATGGGCTGCGAGTCGTTGTAAATACTGCACCCACTTT